CACACCCCGCACCCACACCCACACCCACACCCACATCCACACCACACCCCACCCCAAGGGGGAAACGGCGGACTTTTGGACTTGAAGTTACTTTGAGCTACTTTAAGCTACTTCAAGTTACTTTGAGCTACTTGAAGTATCTTACTTTGAAGTACGTTTCAACTTCAAATTTACCTGAAGTTACTTGAAGTTACTTTAAGCTACTTATTCCTACTTTGGACTACTTGGGTGGTACTTTGAGCTACTTCAAGTAGTCTACTTTGACGTAGTTTGGCGTACTTTTCTACTTCAAGTCCGCCGTTTCCCCCTTGCCTCACCCACACCCACACCCACCCACACCCACACCCACATTTTATCAGTAAGATACTCGGGCAATTGGTTTTATGGTGTGAATCTTATATAAAAAAACCTCCGCATTTAATTCTGAGTCGAATGACGCATTTCCTACCGGGAGCATTTACTCCGAGAGCCTCTTTTTTAGATCGAAAACTTTTAGTTGGTGGAGTCCTCTTTTGGTCTCACTAGCGATTGATTGGATATGAAAGAACTGTTAACAGTTCTTCTGTGACGATTTCGTTGAGCATTTTCATTTTTGTGTTCAGTCATTTTCAATGAAGTCTTTGAACAAAATGTAATATCTTTCTTTATTTGATCTTTTAGATTGACTCTTAGAATATTCTTTTCTAGTGATGATTTGTACTAATGTTGACTCATTGCCGACGATGGACGAAGGACGTGGGTGTAGGCTTGAGTGTCCTAATCTATTTCCACACAGATGCAACCACCCACACCCTTATTTAAGTTACTAGTGATATGCAAAAAGCGAAATATTCAAAAGGATATATTAATGATCCTAAATACAATCTGATATCTTATTACATATGTTTTATGTCTAATCGTTGTTGTCCAACTTAGTAGTACATTGCATGAAATTGAAATATATTTTTCGTTAACAAAATTGTGATGACATATTTTACTATTATATTCACTTATAATACTATCAATAAGTTTCTTTTGTTTTGTATATACTATGCTTATATATGCTACTTTCATAATATTTATTCAAATTTTGTCTGATAAATTATTTATAAATGTTTAGTCGATATTATTTTCTTGTAATCTTTTTTGTTAAAATATATTTCCAAAGTTCGCAATAAAGAAGAATTATATTCAGATAAAGTCGCTCATCCTTATTCATTAATCGTTGAGTTTTTGTTTCACTTGGTATTCAAATAATGTGTGAAATAATTAAACAAGGAATATTACCATTAACAAGTCCATCTTGTTATTTAGTTGCCATAATAGATTGTCTACTTACATTAGTTTTATAATTTAATTTAATTTCAACTAATGATGATGTTTCAAATAATTGGGGTGTGGGTGTGTATCTTCTTGCATCTGACACACAGTCGGACCCAAACCCATATCCATCCACACAAAATAGAAAGATATTTCTATAGTTTTTGAACATCGAATCTCAGGATACATTGAAATCTCTTCTTGTACTATAGAGACTCAGTCATAATCAAAATACAAAGCCGATAGAACATACACCTTCTTGAATATGAGACCAGACATTAGTGACATCTATTTCTGACTTAAAATGATGTTTTCATATTCCAATTTAAAAAAGTAAATTTTTAAATTAATTTAATAAAAGAAAATTCTTTTGAAACATATCCTTTTTCTATTCAGGAACATATGGATTTGTAAAAAACCAATAAAAAATATGGACATCTAACAAGAAATAAACAATGCTGATTCAAAAAAGCAAAAAGAATTAGATATCTCTCTCTTGTCAGTTCTTCTATACATATTTTTTGTGAATGTTTTTTTTTTCAATCAAATTAATTTACTCTTACTTTTTTTCTTATTTTTCAGATCCGTTTTAATCTCTATTTCTATCAATTCCAATATGTCTGACAAAAAAACGTCAGCTACTGCTACATCAGCTACTAAAAAAGCTTCGGTTGCCAATAAAAAGTCAGTTACAGCAACTCCAGCTCCACCAAAAGCAGAGGTATATTTGAACATGCTTTCTATTCCTTCATTTCATTCTATGAATTAATAAAATAGAAGGCTGAATTAACTAAAAAACCGGCAACGGCTACAGCTACATCACCACCACCAACAACAACACCAGCTCCAGCTAAACCAAAGGCAACAACACCAAGTGCTAAATCAACATCATCATTAGCTAAAACATCAACAAAAGTTACGAAAAAAACAACAACACCATCAAAAGGTGCAAAAAGTGGTGCTAAAAAGAAAGCCAAGGCAATTAAATACTATATCGATTGTACACATCCAGTTGAAGATGGTATTTTTGATCTTAATGCATTTGTATGTATTAATATATTTTTATTTTATTTAATAATTATATTCTTTTACTTAGGAACGGTTTTTAGTTGAAAAAATGAAGATTAATGGTAAAACATCAAATTTAGCTGGTAATGTTGCTATTGAAAAATCGAAAGCCAAAATTTCAGTAACATCTGAAATACCACTTTCAAAACGGTAAAGTTTCTTTTTGGTTTTTTCAATAAATAAAAACAAAAAAACATATTTGTAATTCTTTGGGTTTTTTTAGATATATGAAATATTTAACAAAAAAATTTTTAAAGAAACATGAACTTCGAGATTGGTTACGTGTTATTGCTAATTCCAAAGATTCTTATGAATTACGTTACTTTAATATCAATCAAGAAGAAAATGAAGGCGAAGGTGAAGCCTAAACTATTCATATCGTTTTTTTTTTTGTTTTTTTTTTTGAGCACGTCATTATTGTACTCTATTGAAACAAAAAAAAGAAACAGAATAACAAGAAGAACTAGATGATATTTAAAATATATTAAAAGTTATATTTATTAAAAGTATAATGAACAGAATAGAATATTTAATTTCGAGACGTAAGCATGATGAAAATAATTTTTTATGAATACAACCAATAGGCATAGCAATTGATTCTAATGATTGAGTTTTATTTTTTGGTATAAATTGACATGTAGGTGGTTGAAGACCGCCACAAGTATTTGGAGAATTTTGAGAACATTTACAACCCATTGCCATAGCTGATTGTGGTATTCGATTAGCAAGAGATGCACGTGATTGTTCGATATTTGAATAATTACGAAAAACATCTTCTAATATACGCATAACAAATGTTGTATTACATGAATTAAAGACAAGTGCTCTCATATAAGTTAACCATCGTATATTTGTATCGATTGTATCAATAAATGACATTGTTGATGGTCCATCTCCATGTGCTGGATAAATAATTGTAGATTCCGAAAATGTACAACTAAGACTTTGTAAAATACCTATCCAATTACATACATGATTATCTGAATCAGGATAAGTATCTGATGGTGATACAAATAAATGACTACGTACAACAACAAGATCACCAGTAAATAAAGCTTTTATTGAAGGTATATAAATCATTGATGAATGCATTGATTCAGCAGTAGGAAAATTTGAAATGATATGTATTTGCTCATTATTAAATATAGTTAATGGACGATCAAGTACTTTAATATGATCATTATATAAAAATTGATCAGGTGATTGACGTTGATCAAGTAATATTGATGTTTCAAATGGATTAATTCGACGCCAAATTTCTAGCCAATAATTCATTTCATTTAAAGCACCTGAATTACTAACATAAACTGGTAATTGAGTAACATTCAATTCATTCAAAAGACTAACAAGACCAAGAATATTATCTGGATGTGTATGTGTAAGAAAAATAAATGATGGTAATGTACCATTAGAAAATTTTTCACGCCATTTTTGACCAAGTACTAAACCATGTTCCCAATAACAACCACAATCAATAATAAAGCCTTCATTTTCATTTTGAACAATCCAACTATTTGATGAATCAATTGATACACTTACTTGTATTATATTGATCATGTATACATATGGTATTAAAAGAATAAAAAAAAGATGAACTATCATCATTATTTCATATGATACAAATGATGACAATAAGAAGATAATGATTATCAAAATCGATTTTATTTATTTGCTATGAAAACATGTGTAGGTCGATTTTTATCTCAATATGTACCAATACTAATTTGTTGTCTTGTAAGAAATAGAACTACAAGTGTAGAAACAAATATAATAAAATAACAAGAAAGAAAAAGATTTACAAATATAATTTTGTTCATTCTTTTAATAGAAAAATAAAAATTATCATAAATGATATCAGTGAAAAAATATCACATTTATTGAGTTTCATTCATAGTTGATGTATTTTTACATTGGATGTAGCATCAGCATTGAATGTTTAAATGTTAGATTATCATAAAGAAAAAAGATTGTGCACAGTTAATTAAGTTAAGAGAATATCTTTAAGATTCATTCATAAAGATGATTAATGATTGCTTTCTTTCCCCGTGTCTATCAGAATAAATAGGGTGTAGGTGTGGATAAAACAAACACCGACACTCAGATACACACCCTTTGTAAGAACGATGAAAGACCATGAAAAAAAAAACAAGTCAACGAAAGTTGGAAGAAATAATCATAAAAATACATGATGCTGTTGGGTTTTTCTCTTTTGTTTGTTGTTGATAATGATATCTAAAATTGAAACTCAGTGAAGTTTATTGTTGAGTGTCAACAAAAAACAAAACCCACGTTTAACGTAATAGAAAAGATGATCTCTGTCCAAACAAGAGTCTAGTATTTATCATAATTGATAAACGATCCAACAACAATAATTATATCCAATATGGGTGGATACATTTCCAAAGAAAGTACTTCCAAATCGACAATGAATACCACTGCAAATACGATAACCTCATTAACAACTGCGTGACAACAACGACACAGGGCTGAAAATTATTTGGTCGTCTGGGTTGATGGGAAAATTGACCAAGCAAATGCAGATTGTACAAACACATTAGTACAATTGCGGGGTGTCGTCAATGAGGTGAACTCTTGCACGACAGCGGCAGAATGTATTCGAATTCTCAATGAAAATAATGAGGAAACAGCTTTCGTTATCTCCTCTGGTGTACTAGGACAACATCTCGTGCCACATATTCACGGCATACCACAATTAGATGCTATTTATATCTTTTGTGGAGATAAAGAACGACGTGAAGCATGGACTAAAAATTGGATCAAAGTAAAAGGTGTTTATACATCAATCGAACCCATTTGCAAAGCTCTACAAGTGGCAATCAAGCAATGCGACCAACATAACATCTTAGTAAGCAGTATCAGTATGAATGAAAGAGGTTCTAGTGAAAATCTCAATCAGCTAGAATCTTCATTCATGTATTCCCAAATATTCAAAGAAATTCTCCTTGATATGACATATGGTCAACAAGCTATCAAAGATTTTGGTCACGTTTTGTCAACAACAATACTTGGGGAATACAAAAGAATTAAATATTATTGACGAATTCGAACGTACTTATCGACCATCAAAGGCTATATGGTGGTATACACGCGAATGCTTCACTTACAAAATGCTCAATCGGGCATTAAGAACATTCGACTGCGACATCATTATAAGAATGGGATTTTTTTCTTTGTGACGTGTATCGGCAAATAGAAAGTTTACATCACAAACAGGTCAGTCTATGTCACGGAAATACCTTTCTAGTTTATTGGGCACAAGAACTATCGACAGTCGAATTCGAGAACTTGGCGAAAAACAAAGGTGGACTTATATCTTTCAACAATTTTTTATCCACCAATAAAAGTCGAGATGTATCCCTCGAGTTCGCCAAAGATGCATTAGGAACAAACGGTATGGATGGTATTATTTTTCAAATGACCATAGATCCTACTGTCTCATCGATTCCCTTTGCCTCGATTCGAGAGGTGAGATATTTCCCGAAAGATGATGAAATCCTCTTCTCCATGCACGCCGTTTTTCGAATTGGTCACATTCAAAAACTTGACAACAATCGTCCACTTTATCAAGTAAATCGTAAGCTTACGTCAGATGACAATCCCCAACTTCGTCAATTAACTAATCGTTTACGAGAAGAAATTGCAGATTCGACAGGATGGACACGATTGGGTAAAATGTTGCTCAAATTAGGTCAGCTCGACAAAGCTGAAGAATTATTTACTGCACAACTAGAACAGACATCTGACGAAAGTGATAAAGCATTTATCTACAATGAGCTTGGACGGTTGAAGAGTGACCAAGAGCAATATACAGAAGCCGTTTTATTTTACGAAAAATCACTTGAAATAAATCGAAAAACTCTTCCGAAAGGTCATTCCAACTTGGCTACTTCATATAATAACATTGGTGTGATGTATAAAAAAAATGGGCGATGACTCGAAAGCACATAAAATTTACGAAACAGTTCTATCTCCGAATCATCCATCGTTGGCTACTTCCTACAACAACATCGGTGTAGTGTATCACAACATTGGTGAATACTCGAAGGCACTTTCATTTCTAGAAAAAGCACTCGCCATTGGACAAAAGTCACTTTCACCAACGCATCCTCAAGTCAAAAAATTCATGGATAATATTAATGATGTGAAAGAGAAGATGTAAAGTTGTTTTCTTTTCCTAGCTTGCTCAATAAATTTGTTTTGATTGCTACTTACCCCTTTCAGCTTTTCTCGACTCTCTACCATTCTTGCGTGCGTATAACAAGGACAACTTTCATGAGCCTGAAAAATTACAGGCAGAATGGATCATGCCGGACTGGTAAGGTTGATTTTAGGCATTTAACATGTGGAGATAGTAAAAATTCAACAACAACCTTCAGCGATGTAACTCATTACTTTCCTTTACTTTTGCTCAGAATACAAAGCAGTAATCAATCAACATGATACATGATAAGTATAAGGCAATAATACATAACTTCATGATGTGATTGATCCTTGTATTTTTTTT